AAATTCATATTAATGACATATTGAAATTAAAAAAAAACGATATAATTATTACCCGCCGCCGCGCTTCCATCCTATATGAGAAGGGCCTGGAACCGGAATGATGGAGAAGAGTCTTCTTGTCCCTATTGCCCTTATTTGCTTTCGCCTTCTTCTGTTATACAAAAAATAAACGTATTAGTTGAAAATTAAATGAAATTTAAAAAAAACTAAATAAACATTAATAAAAAAAACATGTAATAAATTTCAACTTAATATAAAAAAATTACCACATAATCGGACTCTTGAAAATGACCGCAGAGCCACTCCCAACTATCCTCCCGCCCCTCAAGCTCCTTCGGGCAACCCTCCTGAAGAGCGACCTGCGGATCATCATATGCCATAAAATGATGGTGCAGATCGCTCTTCCACTGCTTGTACCTCTCACCAAAGAGTCTGTTGACGTACGCCAACGACTCGTCGGGGAGGTTCTCTAAATTGTATTTCGTCTACAATACATTAATGACATTTATTAAGTATTAGAAATATATAAAATTTGAAAGCAAAACAATTAAAAGGCATACATACCGACAGATGTTCGCGCACCACCGTCCGCATCTCGTCAGGCATGACCTTCCAAGACTTCCATTTCATCGGACAATGGGTCCGAACGACGTGACCAATGTCGTGGGCCAATGAGCTATGTTGGTCAGCCGTTGGTGCAGCTCGATGTCGCTCGTCGTATCCGATGTTGACACGACTGTTGTGAACCCGGGTGGACTTCGCCGTCTTCAACTGGCGACAAGGTCCCCGGGTGTTCCTCTTGGCTGCAAACACATATCACATTAACGTTAAATATATAATCCTAGTAAAATATTGGTCTGAAACAGCTAGAGTTGAAGGAAATCTTTACCTGGTTGTGAATCTGATGCACCAGCAGCAGCGGACGAAGTGGTGGCGATCATGTGGGGAGGGCGATGACGCCGTCTGGCGCTAACAGGCTGCGCCACTGATGACTCAGATGTCACCGGCTCATGGGAGACCTGACGAGAAACCTGCATAACATCCACCTGTGGTGGAGCACTGACAGGTGACGTCGAAGCCGGGGGTGGCAAAGGCTGTGCACTCGTCATCGCCTTACGGGTTCTGATAAGGTTCAACATCTGCACAAAACAAGCATTTAAAGTACCTCCTGGGGCAAGAATTTATAATTTATACATAAATAAATAAATAAAAAACCTCAACAACTAATCAAGAACAAATTCAATATCAAGTAGCAATAAAGAAAGAAATCAATCAAGAAAATTTAATTGC